GATAATTATGCTCAGTGATGTAAAATTGAAGCGATGTATGACTGAACGAACCTTGGCTGGCGAAGATGTATCTGGAAGTGCACACGTTTGTTGGAAGTGAAAAAAATATTCAATGTAATGACAAAAATTGTAAAATGCTGTGGAATTTCTTTTGCAAATAAAAATATACTAGCAATTTTCTATTAATGGTTCATTCAAGTGGGCACAATATAATGTACAGAAAGATTGCCCGTAGAGTGTCGCTACACTGAAAAGTAAGCAACCGACAGCCTGTATAAAAGGGGGACTGTGATTGGCTGTTACTTACGCAAGATTTGAACGGGACTTACATAGGCGTCGGATCAGATGTAGGTAGGGAGGAATTTAAAAAAATCAAAATCAAAGTAAAATAATAAAATAAAAGGGCATTAATAACAAAAGTAATAAAATTAAAATAAGTTTATAGCCAAAATAATTAAAGCCCGTACACTACATCAGATTTTAATCAGATTGATCACTTATTTATATACAATTTTGTTCCAATATATTATATATAAAGAAATTGTCATGTTTTTGTAATAATGTTATATAATTTGCTTATATCAATTAATGCACAAACGGCATCCCTTATGAACTTTGCTTTTGTTGAACGTTGTTGTAGTCATAGCTTTGATACATAGTAACGACTGGATCATATATACAAGAATTGAATAATAATTAACCTATGAATATTCATGATCGAACTCGAAACATCAAAGAGCCATTTAAGAAATCGGTAATCCGCTTTTTCTTCCTGATCGGGAATATTTTGATCCTTCTGAGTTTTAAAACTTTCTGAATGCATTATTTGTAAAATTTACAGCATGTGACTTTATTTCTCTAGCTGCAGTAAAAGAGTAGCTGAAATATTTTATAACGCAATAATTGTTTAATGTTCTAATAATGGTTTTCATAGTGAAATCATTTAAATATCTGATAATGCTCAGTTTATTTTTTTAATAAAACTGTATTGTATTTGGAATAAACCTAGCAACGCTTTAATATGGCTGCGAATTTGGGTCACCACTCAATGTATCTGTAATTGCTGTATCCTAGTTCCAGAGTAGCTCGATTTTATTTGATCACGGTACGTGGAACGTTTAGGGTGCTGTATCACATTTATACATTGTTTTTAATGATTTACATTTATTTCAGTGTATCATTTAAAATAAGCTGGTATAATATAGTAGGAATAACTACCCCAGAGGTGGGTAAAAAAAACACTAAACTATATATAAATCCTTGTATACACGCTTCCTGGGGTGTTTATTCCTTAAATCTATCATCAACAATGTGGTTATTTCCATAAATTAAAGTTTAAATTTAACATTTATCTACAATTCAATATTAATATTATCTGAAATGAATAAATATATATATATTCCTCTAATCAATCTATAACAGGTGTACCAAACACATACATCTATTAAAATTGCATTGTCGTGATTAGTGCAACATATGTGTGAAGCCAATAAATTAATGTATTATTATACCCACAATACACTATTCGTTCTCTAGGTTGGTGTAGGTTGGTGTACACAAATCCTAGAAAATAAAATGTACAGGAACAGGGGAATTTGATTGAACTCACTGTTTTACAGAATTTAAATTCATGAATTGAATTTACTGTGATAAATTGATATAGTTACTATGATATAATAAAATGTAATAAATTGAGTGTACACATAATATAGACTTGACAGTAAATATTAACCATATACCAGAACATCGGCAAAGGCATTCTTAACACAATAAACAAAATAAACATATACAAATAAATAAATACAATGAATATATTGATGGATGAGTTCTTACATAACATCTATTGACCAATATAATTGCAAGCAGCTGTTTGTTTTTCACTCCACTTTCACCGTATATTTCTCCAATTCCACTGCTGTAGTATTTGCTGCGGTTGTACTTGCTGATGATCTTGCCACCTGTATGTACGGTTGTTCCAAATTATGAGTACCCACGCACCGGCAACACAATTTCTTAACGTCAGCCTAAACACATGAATAAAACCACAACATTTTAGAAATGACTTGCAGGTTTTGTATGGGGTATGTTCAAGCGTGTATAAATGGAAATTACATATGTAGCTAAATATAATTGATAATTATTGGTGTGTTTGTGCTTATTTGTATTTGATTATATCAGAATGCAAATTTAAGTTATTGAAGCCTTGTGATCAAGAAAAGCAAGTATCAACCTATATTGTGACAGAATTCTAAACTAGGAATTTTATAAAATGATTTAATGTTAAATTGACATGTTGAATTATTATCATTTTAATTAGCCAAGCGTTGTTAATTTAGGACGAAACCATGTTTTACCGTAATATTATATTTGAATTCAAGTTATGTTAGCCGTTACACACTTTAAACTTGACATTGAGGTTCGAAAATGAATGCGTGTCGCTAAGAATGATTCTGCGTGTCTTCCGCTGTCTTGTTTGAAAGTTTACGAAGGACGTGTGTTCTACACATTAGATAAAAATGCAGATAATCAGTTACCACAGTAGCTTTTTGTGCTAATTATTGACCCGGTCAGTATGACAATTACTCCAACGATTGGTGTGGATAAACCCTTAAATTGCATATAGGCCTGATTGATTCCCTTAAGTGTTTCAATTACAGTTTACATAGTGTAAGAACAGTTTATATTCTTGTTTACTATATTTAATTGTGATCAGATAGTATACAGTAAAACGTAGTAAGTTGTGCTGTCATTTCTTCATAGTAAAACAGGATACCAGGTTATTTGGTAAGCGACATCACTACTGTGGCCCTGAATTGTATTTTATGGAATCAGAATGTGGAAAATGATCAAACGTGATGTCAATAATTTGTGATGTGTTCAATGTTTACCTAAAACAAAATAAATGTAGTACATTGTGTTTAGTTGTTTATATTTAGAATGCGTTTAAAATTTTGGAAATGTGCACAGGACATCGGTGTTATATATAATAGACAACTCAACTTGAAGATGACTTAATGATTAGTTAGTTAGTTAGGGGGATTTGTATACGACAAAAATATCTATGTTAAAATCTTATTGTTAACTATGATTTGTATTATAATTACTGTAGTCTAAATATAAATATATCTGTGTTAGGTAGTTTCTTATGTATAATATGCCGTCAGTTTATAACTATGAATACTTCACAAAATATACCATGAATTTAATTATAAATGATACAATTAGTTTCAATTAATGTTTGATTGAAAATTAAAAAAACATCTTTTTGGAATATATAACAAAATAATTAAAAAAAGAAGAGGACGAGAAGAGGGGGTGACGTATGAAGAAGGTGAGGTAAAAGATTGGAGGAGGGGAGCAGGAAGGGGAGGAGAAAGAAGATCAGCCGGAGGAAAAGAATGATAAGTTGGTGCGGGTGGCCGAACTGTAATAAAAAAAAAAAAAAACAATTCCGGACAAGAATGCCCGGAACTGTATTGGGAACAAGTATTAATTAGAATGTGATTTACCCATGTTTTTGTTACAACTAATTCGGCATTATCCAGGAACTACACTTTCACTGGCAATATATTCACAAGCTCTTTGCTGCTTTATATTTGTAACCTGGTGTTAAGACTTTGCGTTATCTATATTAAAGGCGTACCCAGAAAAATTCAGTTTAAATTGGAATTCATGTATTGTAAAACCTTGTGCAGATTAGTGTAGTGTTTCTGTTGCCACGAATATTTAGTTGTGATAGATAGTTTTATAATTGATGTCACATATCGTTAGATGTAGCACTTTGAAAAGTCATTTACATTATATTTTGAATGCTGCCCAGGTAAGGGCGAAGTGGCATATTTTACTATGTGCCAGTTACAACTTTTATCTGATGAACATACATTTAAAAGTAATAATAAGGTCGACGCAAGATGTGTGTGTCGTCAACAATGCAATGATCGCTTTGACGGCACGGAAATTGTGAACCTTTTTGAATGCTAGATTTTACACTTTGAGTCAGGGAATGACAATTTTCTTGGTTAGTGTACTGCAAAGAGTGTAAGTTTTTGTCATGGAACGGAAACAACATCTGTCATATGTTGACATGTCAGTAGAAGGACCAATTTCCTGAGTACTGGTATGCATTCTGCAATTTGTTTAAAAAATGGAATTTATAAGTGATTGAGTGAAAGCTATAATAGTTTGTCACAATCTGATTAAAATCTGATGTAGTGTACGGGTTTTAATTATTTTGCCTATAAACTTATTTTAATTTTATTTTTTATTACTTTTGTTAATAATGCCTTTTTATTTTATTATTTTACTTTGATTGTGATTTTGTGATTTTTTTAATTCCGCCCTACCTACATCTGACCCGATGCCTATGTAACGAGATTTCAACGAGGCCCACTATCGACGATTTTAGTCAACGAATCACAGACCTTCTTCTATAGCGCACATGATGACGTTACCGGGCGGAGTCGGGTGGCAAACACACTCAAATAAAATGGCGGATTATACCGACGTTAGCGACCGAGAATAACACGGTTTTTCGGTAAGTTTATCATTGTCAAATGCAACGAAAGTCATTTTTATGTTAATATTGTGGCTCGAATGGTTCGACTTTAGATCGTTATTTTGCATATTTATTCTGGGAGTGACGATTTTGTTTCCACCGTTTCGACCGAACACGAGTGTCTTTTTCCAGTCGCCTGCCCTGGAGACGGGTGATGTTTTGTTGACGATCGGGCCAACATCGTCTACGGTATTGAAGCCGATATTCATCAAATTGTATCAACATTTTGTACATTATACAATAACTCGTTATTAAGTTAATTGAGCTGATATGGCTGGAATAAAATATTTTTTATTGGAACACATCGCAATTGATCAGGAAATATTTTTTTGCTCCAATTTTCTTGCGTCGATGCCGTGGGCCGGTGATCGTTATACAATTTAAAATCAGTTTGCATTGTTTACTATAGCTGTTTACAGTGTTCTAATCATTACGATTTACTTATTTTTTGGCTTCCATTCTAGTGATGTAAAATTGAAGCGATGACTGAATGAACGAACCTTGGTTGGCGAAGATGTATCTGGAAGTGTACACATTTGTTGGAAGTGAAAAAAATATTCAATGTAATGACAAAAATTGTAAAATGCTGTGGAATTTCTTTTGCAAATAAAAATATACTAGCAATTTTCTATTAATGGTTTATTCAAGTGGGCAAAATATAATGTACAGAAAGATTGCCCGTAGAGTATCGCTACACTGAAAAGTAAGCAACCGACAGCCTGTATAAAAGGGGGGCTGTGATTGGCTGTTACTTATGCAAGATTTGAACGGGACTTACATAGGCGTCGGATCAGATGTAGGTAGGGCAGAATTAAAAAAAAAATCACAAAATCAAAGTAAAATAATAAAATAAAAGGGCATTAATAACAAAAGTAATAAAAAATAAAATTAAAATAAGTTTATAGCCACAATAATTAAAGCCCGTACACTACATCAGATTTTAATCAGATTGGATCCTACAGTGAATGTAAAATGATCTAGTAAAATCCCGGGGCACATAAAAATATCATGATGCATATACTCTCTGTTCTGCTTTTCCATTATTCTTTCAATGGTAACTTGATGGTGTTCAACTTTACCCAACATTTGACCAGTTAGGTCAATGAAATAGTTACCCAGGTAATAAGAGGTCAATTTACGTGTACAATGTACACGACAGTGCATGGGCCGCTGTCTAATTATGGTATGAAACCTAAA